AAAGGTGAATGTGATGTGACTTGAGATTAACTTATATTTGCATCAAACCGCAAATCACGTGAAAGGAAATAAAGAAGCATACAACTTCTCCTGCACATGATTGGTTGTTTGAACAACAGCTTCACTTTATTTTACCCCAAGACCTCATTTTACTTAAGAAAATATCAGCCACACTGACTGAGAAATTGTAATTTAACTGTACAATGCCACAGGAGTAATGATAGCGACGTTAACACTCGGGTAGAATATATATATATATATATATATATATATATATAAACACACACACACACACACTGTCAACCCTGCAAATGCCTGAGAATTCTTCTGAGAAAAACCCTCGAATCATTCCAGTTCTGTAATTGTGGGTAATTACTAACAAGCAGCATGTAAATGACCGCTTATGTAACTGCATAGACCTTTATTCTGCTGGAATCTGACTTGTTTTTATTTGTCTGTGATTGGAATATAGGCTGCTCGTAGTTGTACTGTATATCATATCCTGATGGAGATGGTCTTGGCTGTAGCTATAGGAAGAGCAGTTAATGAGGTCTATGTCCAGTGTGTGGTGCACTACAACAGTATCTTGTAACTGAATAAACTGGTTGTAAAGGTGTGTACGCCAACAGTGAGCTCACATCATTTTGCTGTTATTATTGCAAGTCATCTCTGTTCTTTTCACCTCCCTTGTGGGTGAAGCAGGAAATCTGTTTTGCTCAACCTTAAGATGTTATCTTGTGATTTTGTATTCGGGAGGAGACCTCTTTGTGGTACTGTTTGAGGTAAAATGAACAACGATTTTCAGTTACTTGTGATGTGCTGTAGAGATAGTTTTCTCCATTATATTTCTTGCTCCTGTGCCTATAATGTTCAGATGATGTTTCAAAATTGGCAAAAGAACGAAGGTTCAGAACATTTGAGCAGTTTTGTTTTCTGCTGTAGAGAGGGTTAATCGGCCCATGTGAACAAGGGATTTAGTTGGAACGTGAGGTGTTTTAAAGCTGCCAGGTGTTGTGTTACACATAGCACAATACACCTGTGTTATTGGTATGCTTGCCACCTTTCTGCCATCATGGAACATTCCTGTGGAAAAAACTGTACAGGTGCAGTAGATCACTCGAGTCTCGATCTGTAGCAATGATAGAACTTTGCTCCCGACATATAAAAAGTTGCTTGGAAATATACGGGGATCTTTGCTACAAATGAGTTGCTGGATTGAACTCTGTGACTTTGTTGTGTCTTTCTGTAGGAGACTGCAGTCTGCATCCTATGAACAGGCGTTAGATGCAGATACACACCCTGCACACCCATACTGCGTCTGTGGATGCTCAGACATGGGGACAAGTATGAGCAAAGATGGCTGTTTTGTCAAATGTAGCTAAAGGCTGTAGTCCTCTTTTATTTTACCTTGACAATGAGGTTCATGCTTTCTTGTGTTCGACCATGTGACTCAGTTTGGTTTTTGTGTCTGGAAGCCTCATAGCATGTCAGAAATGGATGGTGATTGTTTTCTTTTGGCATGGGTTTATGAAGTCTTATGGAGCTTGTGGCTGCATGTTTACTAGCAATTGAATTTCTAAGTACTTCACTTGACTGGCTTTCACCCATGGTACTGTTACCTCTGCTTTATTGTGGTGGAACAGCAGTTGATGTGCAGAGTATTTACAATATGTCCACCTGACGCATTCGATAGAGTTCCTCCTTATCTGTTGTGCTTGTCCCATTGTGCTATCGTTGTCACAACGGTAATCCAGTGTCTGCGGGCACCTTCACTGTATTTACCAAACTGTGTTGTCACTGCTCGCTGTGCTGTACACGGGGGCCTAGTTATATCTGTGCGCCAAAAAGCAACTTTCATAGAAATGGGGGAAAAAGGGGCACTAGTTCCTTTTGTAGAAAAAAACAAATGCATATTGTGACCCATAAACATGGCTACAAATGCCTGTCCACAACGGGTGCGTTTTTAAACTCTTGGTCTTGTAATCAGGTCTTTTGGATAACTTTTAGATACCATTTAAATCAGTAAAGAGTTGATTAAATAAGTGTCACACAGTTGTATTACCGGTTTCCATAGTTGCATAGTTTGGCTCAGTTTAGTGGGATTGAAGCTCAGGAATTGTTGTGGGAGTCACCTGCGTTGCCATTTCAAAATACTAATTATGTTCTATTTCTTTTTAACGTGTCGCTCTCTGTGTGTTGGCAGCACTTGACAATTATGTTCGTGACCTCTTATAAATATTTTATGTACATTTAGGAAATAACGTAAAAATGTGTTATGTTGTACTGTTATGAATTCCTAACATCCTTTGAGGGGAATTTAACTTTTTTAGTTATTCTTGCCTGAAAGTATTTTTTTCCTATGATCATGATATTTTAATTATAGATTTGTAGATTTTTCCTTAATATATACGTGCAATTAGTATCCTTGCTGGACATATCAAACCTATTGCATGATAAATCACTTAACTCAGAGGTCATAGCCCAACTCGGAGAGAGAGAAGTTCTGTCTACTGAGGGCCACATATACCTAATTTGATGAAAAGGTTATTACACTTTGGTACTTATAATGTTATCAATTGCAGCATACAACATTTTATCCCAGAAAAAAGAGCCTTAAAACACATCCTGAAATACTGACCAAAGTTATGGAGAAAGTGTAGCTTTTAGCAAAAGAACAGCTGGGGTCTCCTTCACGTTAAGCTCAGTTGGGGACTGCAAAGATGGAACAAGAGGACCACAATACTTCTAAAGTGAAAACGGTCTTTGCCCATCTTTAAATCATTCCTATCTCTCTTTGAATCTCCCTTGAATCTTAGACCCAAACCATATATAGTGCCTTAACTATTTTCCAAGATGGAAAGTAAGCCCTGACCCTTGGCATTCAACGGTCAAATGCAAGAGCTTTAGTGATCAGTAGAGGTTTTGGCATTTGACCGTTGAATGTCAGAGCTTAGTACAGTGAAGGGGAAATGCTTTGTGCCAACTTGGACAGTTAAAGTGACACTAAACTCAGGAGTTAAATCCTTAAAAATGATTTAAAGTACCTAAACTATTAACATTTGTATCTTATTTGTGCATTACTCGGCTGTAGATCCTCAAGTCATCTCTGAATTGGTGCTGAATACGGTCTTTCCTTTTGGAAGGTGGCTGCTTTTGTTCCCCATGGTCCCTGTGTGTTGTTATAAAGTAGCCACCCCTCCAAGCTCACTCCCGTCATGGACTGCAGTCTCAAAACAAATTAGTAAACTAAATGTGAGATTGTAGTCCATCACGGGAGTGCGCTAATATGGCTTATTTGTGTATCACTCGGCTGTACATCCTCAAATTATCTCTGAATTGGTGCTGACACTGTCCTTCCTTCTGGAGGCTGGTTATTTTGTTCCCCATGGTCCCTGTGTGTGTGTGTTAAATAGCCACCACTCTATTGTTAATAAGGTACTTGAATGCATTTTTAAGGTTTAACTCATGAGTTTAGTGTCACTTAAAGGCCCTCTATATAGCCTGAGACTTGAATCAAAGTTGATACTTCATATATGTTGGAATGGATTAGAAGATTGGTTCAGGTGGTCCCTGCACTTTAGCGTACATGTTACTTTGGAGACTTTTTAGGCCATAGTATATGATAACTCTGATATTGCTAGATTACTGCTATTGATGCTTGGTTTATTTATACTATGTTTTTGGTTCTGTGGGGTTATTGATGTTTATGGCCAGAGTTGAAGCATATAAATGAAAAATAAGGTGGGTTTTTAGGCCATGATAGAAATGTTCATTACCACTGCACATACACAGGTTAATGTGAGTATCCTGGTACTGCACCAGTCATTCTGGTCTTGTATGTTTAGTAGGGATGCAGCAATACCAGTTCAGATACCAGTGCAGATACTTGGCATTTTCAATAAGAACTACAGGGTTGCAGCGGTTGCAGCTGGGACCTGCTCTGGCGCTCCACCAATGTCCTGAAATCATTAGCATGTAATGTTTTAGAAATACTGTCACATGACTATAAACAAAGGTGTATCAGTACTTGTACTTTCAAAACTGGTATTGGTGCATCCTTTTATATATGTTTAATAAAACAAAATGCTACATTAAAACCGAGATGTACAAATCCCGGGAGCTCCGTGTGCTCCTTACAAATGACAGCTGCCTCCTAACTTTTGAGTTTTTCTCTAGTTTAGTCTTGGAGCTCCAAAGTATCTGTACTTGTAACGAGTACAGTACTTGGTATCGGTGCATCCCTTAAGTTTAGCCATCTCTTAAGCTGGCCATACTCTCATCAATATGTGATTTATCTAGGTACTAGCAATTGCAAATACGTGATGCAACACATATGGTGTTGATTTAAAATGTTAGGCACAATCTATTAAAAATGACAATTTATCTGATCTGTATTCCAGTCAGTTGTCTGATATTGGCATATTAGTTTGATCGATCAGAAATGATTGATAAAATTCCGCCATAGCTGATCGATTTGCCAGCAACAAAACTGATTGGGTCTGTAGCTTACATTTCTTATTTAATTTGATCATTTGAGTCGCATTGAATTATCGATTTGAATGATCATGTTGATATGAATATGTGTGTATCTAATTTGGAACTGCAATTTGCTATAAGTGTCCTGTTTTAGAACGATCTTGGCATATTGGTAAAGGTAGTCTTGTGTCAAATTGCAGTAATATATATTTTTACTGTGGTTGTAGTTAATCATTAAATGGCCTTGTCTTCCTATGAGTATCATTTCCACATTGCCACCGATTTCAAACCTTTCCAGGAAAAGCACAGTTTGAGTTTGAAAGCTCAAACCAGATTGGTAACTGTGAGGAAAAAATGGGCATGCATAGTAATGACACATAAGAAGTTCTCTGTTTACTCTATTTGTTATTGCAACAGCAATGAGCCGATTTATGTATCGGATAATCTCACTTTTTTTACCTAACTTGTAATGTGTTTCTCTTGGAAGATTGTTAAATGTCATTTGCGTTCTTTTTGTTTTGCAGAAACGATTCCAAAGGAACACCAAAGCTGAATGACCTGTCTCATATTGAACGTTTCAGAGACTGCTGGCTGAATCATCATTTGGAATTAAATGTTTACATTCTGACCAGGGAAGCTGACACAAAGACACATATCAGAATGGAAACCCTCATTGAAGACCTAGGCAGATATATTGAGGGTCATTCTAGTTGTCAGGTGAGTCTTTTAGGAATCTTGAATGATGGGATTGTGTGGAGCTGCAGAAATTGTTTCTAATCCTTTGCCAATGCACATCTTATTCCTGTGAACTGGCTTTGGTACCAGTTTCTGAGACAAGAATTCTGTTGATCCTACATCATTTGCATTGGTTGTGGGATTAAAAGTGAAACTTAACTAAAGTTAAATCTTAGGGCTTGTTTACACATAATCCAGTGCATTCCAGCACAGTTAGTGGCTTGAATGGACTTGAATGCACCACCACTCCCCCTCCCGCCCCAGAACGCAGGGATGCTTGAATTATGTGATTCAGTGCGGTAAAGCCCACTAATTCTGCTGGAACACACTGGATTTGGTGTGAACTAGACCTTAAAAATGCATTAAAGTACCCCAACTGTTATCAAAATTATTTGTGTATCACTCAGCTGTAGATCCTCAAATCATCTCTGAATTGGTGCTGACACTGTCGTTCCTTCTGGAGGGTGGCTACTTTTGTCCCCCATGGTTCCTGTGTGTCACTCCTGTTATGGACGTCAATGTCACCTTCAGTTTACTAATTTGTTTTGAAGTTAAAGTGACACTCAGGAGTTAAACCTTAAAAATCCAGGTACCTCAACTATCACTCGGCTGTAGATCCTCAAATCATCTATAAATTCATGCTGACACTGACCTTCCTTCTGGAGGGTAGCTACTTTTCCCATGGTCCCCATGATTCCTGTGTGTGTTGTAAAGTCACTCCTGTGATGGACTACAATCTCATGTTTAGTTTACTAATCTGTATTGATATTGTAGTCTTATCACAGGAGTGAGCTTGGAACGGTGGCTACTTTACAACACAGGGACCATTGGGAACAAAAGTAGCCACAATCCAGAAGTAAGTACAGTGTCAGCACCAATTCAGAGCTGATTTGAGGATCTACAGCACAAAAAAAGGTACATTTTTGTAAATAGGGTACTTGAATAGGGTACCTCCTGAGTTTAGTGTCAGTTTAATTACTTTGAATAATGGAGCTGCATTTGGACACGTGTAAATGTGACCTTCTTTAGGAACTTCCACAAGCACCCTCCAACAAAGCATACCTTTTGTGGAGTGTCCTTTTAGTGTACTGTAACAGCTCGTAGAAGCTTAAAGGGCATAGTTGAATAGAACCTAAGCCTACTCACTGTATACACAGCATGCATATGCCACAGTACTTCTACCCTCAAAATATGTTTTAATTACTGCGGCATAAACTATTTTTTTTTATCACGTTTTTATTTATTTTTTTTCAAATTCAAAAATATTTTATTGGTTTTAAAGTTCAGCATAGAGACAATAACAATGGAGAATACATGATTACAGTTGTTACACAACAGAGGAACAGGCTACAGTATGCAGGGCATTCCGCCCAACACTTTCGGGATTTCCTGGCGTAGGTGTCAAGTGTATATGTAAAAGCAGATACGGTCTACTAGGAGGGGGCAATATTCCTACATCGACAGTAGAATTGTAAGGAGAACATGAGTGAACAACAGTCTTCTATATTGCAGGGTCGATAGCGTCATAGATCATTAATAGGAGAGGAGTAAGGCAAGGGAAAGAAGAAGGACCATAACAAGGAGGGGGTGAAGGGGAAAGGATGGCACCAAGGTCCCTAAAATAGTGGGTTGTTCACATTTTCAGAGGCTCAAATGTACTTTAAGCTCTCAAGCGAAAGGTCAAGGTGTGCATAGGAAATCCATGGGTTCCAAACTTTTTGGAATTTCTTCTGTGAGTCCAGTGGGATACTAGAGAGCTTCTCATTAATGAAGAAGGAATCGATCCTGCGCTGGACACCAGCAAAATAAACAAATTGTTTCCGCCAGGCTTGGACTATAGTTTGTTTGCCAGTAAGATAAAAACTGCTAATTTATATTGGGCTTTCATGAGAGATGGAGGCTTAAAATGTAAGCGTGCAAACCAGGGGTCTTTCGCTATAGATTTGTGAAAGAGAGAGCGAAGAAGAAGAAAAGTCCTGGACCACACTCTAGTTAGCATAGGACAAGACCACCAAGGGTGTATAACGTCACCTTTTAACAGAACATCCCCGGAAGCAAAGAGCGGAGTGATGGGTTTAGGTGAATCAACCTTGAAGGGACCATGTACCACCTCATCATAGTTTTATAAGCTGTCTCCAGGGAAGTAATATTAACGGTATAGGAAGCTGTCAAGTTCCACATTTGTTGCCAATCTAGGGTCAGTTTGGAGTTGTGGAGATCCTGTTCCCATCTACATACATAAGCATGGTCCGTTGGGGGAAGACACTGAGTTAAGTTGTGAGTACAATATGAAAATCAACTTAGGTTGCAGAGGTGAGTTATGACATATGTGCTCAAAAGTTGTTAGTGTAGTGGGGGAAATTCTATCAGATATCATGGAGGAGGCCCAATGTCTAAGTTGTAGGTAATGGAAATATTCCCCTGAGGGAACATGGTGCCGATCTCTAAGATTGGATCAGCTATTAATTACTTCTCCATGTAAAAGGTTATACAGGTAGTTAAAGTTGTGTGATGACCAGCATTCAAATGATCCCGCATCTCCAAGCGTGAAACAAACAAGGGGTTGCCCAGGATGGGGAGCAGGGGGGGTGAAGAGAAATTAACTTGCTAGAATATTTGGTGGCATCCCAAACTTTAAGAGTATGTCTCATGAGAGGGCTCATGGTCTTAGGGTGTAATTGACATGGGAGCCATGGCAGAGCTCTGATGGATACAATAAAAGCTTTCTATATTAGTCCAGAGCAGAGCCTGTAAAGATAGAAACATGTTGGTCATGGGGGCAATCCTGGAATCGGTTAACAGTGTCCGACCGTAGGGAGATATTGAGAGCTAAGGATTTTGTCTTGTTATTAGTTCAATTGGATACCTGTGCAAAAGCTCGCAGAATGGAGAATAAATTAGGTAGTGTTATATGAGGTTGGGTTAGTGTTTATAGGTCATCAGCAAAAAATTAACTTTATTCTGTGGTATCCACTTGTACCCTTAAGCTATTTTTTTATTCACATCTGAGTCTCTGTTAGACTTCCCCTCACTTCCTGTCCAGTGAAATGGTTGTAACAGCAAGTGACACAAAAGCCCCCCCAGATAGCTGTAAAAGCCTGACAGAGATCCCAATCCCTACCAAGTCTTCCCAAAAAATAATTTTGGCTGGACCCTAACATTTTTATAATTGAAAAAGGTCTGTTCCCTCCTTTACTTGCTGTTGTGTCATTCTATGCATACTATATAATGTGTCGAGCACAGTGGGTCAGTGTTGGGCACTTCCGCCTTGCAGAACTGGGGTCTTTTAGGCCCCGTTCACACCAAGCCAATGCATGCACTACTTTTTTCAATCACACAGCAATGCACGGTATTGTGGTACCGCGTGTAGTGGTGCAGTTGATAGCCTTGTGGGCTTGCGGTGTGTTTGCAGTGCCATTCAAATGAATGGCAACACAATGCACCTCCTGCACTGTTAACGCACAGTAGAATACCGTCCATTAATTGCACAGGCTTTGTGTTAATAGGCCTTGAATCTCAACCAAGGCAATATCTGCATGGAGTTTGCTTGTGCTCCCTGTGCTTGTGTGGGTTTTTTCTGGGTACTCCAGTTTCCTCCCACACTTCAAAGTCATGGTGCCAGGTTATTTGGCTCTAAATTGTCCCTAGTGTGTGTATTTGTATGTATTGTTTGTGAGATGGGGACGATAGAGTGTACGTTCATTGAGGACAGGGTCTGATGTGAATTTACAGTATGTAAAGTGTAGCTATAGAGATACCTGTAATATATAATAACAGAGGCAAGATGACTGTGCCAACGAACTTTAACTTACCCCGGGGAGCCAAATTACTATATATGATGACCCAGTGTGTAAATCTATTGTACACAAAATATATTATACACAAAATTATATGATGGTAATCCTTTGTGCAGTAACTTCATCTTTAGAGGTTTAATGGCAGGAAGGCTGCCCGGAGCACCACCTAGTGTACAGCAGGGTTTTCTGTTGGCGTGTACAGGAGAAGAATGTACTCAAGCAGTCATTATCTGAACTTATAGGTAGTTTTTTTCTAGAAAATTATTCAGTTACTGTAGCTATGGTTTGTGTGTTTTTTTTTTTTTTTTTCTTTGGTTTTTTTTTTTACCAAGAAAAAAAGTCTACTTTATAAAAGTTGTTTCTAAACCAAGGTATTTAAAATCATGACCTGAATATGAAAATGCAACGGAATTCCTAATTTAAAGAATATATATGTTAAACTATATTTCATGGATTTAGATGCATTCCACACTTTTTTTTGTTGTTTTTTTGTTTTGTTGGTTCAGTGTGTTTGATCTAAAACGGAGGACCTGGGTTAAAAATTAAACACCCATGTTTATTAACTTTAGCTCTTTTGAGGTCCAATAATCTGCTTAACAATGGGGTCATTTGCAAAGTCTGTTTTATTTATAACAATATTTCTGGCTAACAAACCCTCTAATTGGCTGAGGTGTAAGGTTGCAAGTTATGAATACGTTTAATTGTGTGTATGTATAATATACTGTATGTTATGCACTGCATTGTGAATGTACACTGAGCTCAGTAAATAAAGTGAAGCTTCATCAACCAACCATGTGCTAGCAACAACCCTTTTTTTTTTTTTCCATTTCCCTCACAAATGGCTTGGTATAGTGAAGACAGATGTATCTTATTTGCTAACATTCACTTTGCAGAGTGAGCATACATTTTGTTAAAATAGCCCCCTCTTAAAATCAACCTGGTGCAAATTCTTTGTATGCAACACTTTTTTTTTTCTGTTAGGATGTGTCCTTTTACCACTGAGATGTTCAGTAGTTCTTAATGCGGAACTTGTGGTCAGGAAGTAGAGTATTGCATTATCTAGAAAACAAACACCATTTTCTGCTACATTTATGCTGCTGTAGTTGAATTATGCAGTTTCCCCTGTAAAGCTAATAAATGATCAAGCTTTTGAAGTAAATAATAAAGACCTAAAACACAAACTCACAGCAACTTTAATGATGTAATCATTGGTTTTCTTTTGGCTTGCTTTTTTCTGAATACGTTATACTTAGATTTTAAAGCCTGTACTCTTTATTGCTTGTTTGTTAAAGCCTACACTATACAATTGTTTTTAGTGATGCTCAACGTGTTTGCATAGCTTGTGCTAATTGCATCGTTTTGGGCCAGATACCCATTGCAGTGAACACATGAGGCCTTAGTCTGGGGTGCCACATTTCTGATGTAGTTTAGTCTGTCATGGATGGTGAGATGTCGTTTGTGTATCCCCTCACTGCAACTATCTGTGCATATTGAGAACATGACATTCGCTTGGTGCATCCATGCTTCCCGAAATGGAAGCAAACATATCTTTGCATGTTGCGTTCGCATGTAAAGATGATTTGGATATTTTAATGTGTGTGTCTATGTATATTACTACGCTGTAATACCGTGCTTGTAACTGTTTAGTATTTGTGTCTGCTTTATTTATTTACTCATATCATTTTCCATTGTTTATCAGGACACTTGTGTGAAGTCGGAGCAGGAGCCTGTGTCCGAAGAGACGACTGATTTATGTCACCAAGATGCGGAGAAAAATTTTACTGATAAGCCTTTGGATTTGCACAGTGACTCTGATGGCACAGAAAATAAATCATCTACGCCGTGCAGCGAGGAGAGCTGCACGAGTGACAAGGTGGAAGAGCGTAGCGTTAATATTGGCAGTGAGGTGGAAACTGTGGGTGGGGACCGTGCAATGTTTTCCTTTGCTGGTACAAGTAAAGAACCCAAAGAGGAAGAGGAGGGAACAAAGTCTATTGTAGAGTCAGAAGATGCATCAGTTACACACCAGCACATTCAAAGATTTCCTACTGAGGTACGGACATCTGAATCCCTTCTGTCCAGTGGAAATCCAAATGAGGAAACTGGAATGACCTCAACTGGAATTGTTTTGGACCACGAGTGTCTGTGCGGGAGAGATAATTTGGGTGAGGAAATGATAACCACTACAGAGAGAGCGACTCCAGACGTTGCTTTAACAGAAGCTCCAGACAAAGCCACTGTATTGACTCTAGCTGCTGATGTGGACATGGGCCAGGCTTTGCCAGGGTACTGTACTAGCACAGCAAGTTCCAAGGACACAGTAGGTAATACAGAGAACAGTGAACAGGAAATGGGCGCAGTTACACTACTGATGGTTAATGAGAATCAGGCTATTGATAGTTTTAACGACAGTTCCTGTCAGGGGGAGATAAATCTTTGCCTACTAAATGCAACTGTGCAGTGTGACATTGAGGAGTCCTCCCTACAGCCACAGGAATGCACTGCAATAAAAGCTATGGACTGCACTAAGTCATGTGACATGAAAGGCTCTGAAACAAGTGTGTCAGCGTCACAAAGTGAGAGTTTGGCCCAGATTGTGGATGATACCAGTGTGACAGCTAAGGAAGGAAATGCACTAACAGATGTAGCGGATTGCCAACCTAAATGTAATGGTGCTGACGCTGGATCCATGCTTGAAAATGAAGTTGCTGTCACCACAGCAGCTACAGCACAAAGCATTGAAGATCTTTGTGTAGGTACAGAAGAAGACATGCCTGGCCCTTGTGCTAGTTCAGTGCAAACTATAGATGCACCAAGTACTGCAGGGACCAGTGAACAGGGGGCTGGAGAGGCTTTAGTGCCGTCTGTTAATGACAATCAGACTACTTTTAAATCTGTTAATGCAGACCAGGGAGAGCCAAGTCCCTTTCTAATAGCCGAAAATGGACAGTGTGACATTGTAGAATCTGGACAGTCACCGGATTGCTCAGCAGTAAGCACATTGGACTGTGTCGAGACATGCGAGTTTGGACAGACAGAAACAAAAGTTTCCTTTTCACAGAGTGAAAGTATGGACCTGTGCACCGATAGCATGAGAGCGATTGCTGAAGACGAAAATGCTGCCACTGACGCAGACACACCAGTCTGCTCTTTCCATGACTGTGTAGGTGAAGAAAAGGGTGCTGTTAAGTCTTCGGCACCTTCCCCACAAGACACGTTGGATACAGAAACGCCAAGTCTTGTTGATTGTGTGGAGGAGGAGGAGCCAGGGGAGGTTGCCCAGCAAGCTCCTGCAGAGTGCGATAGAGTTGAAGATAGCTCAGAGGTGTTAAAAGTCTCCAGAGCTTCACTTCATCCTATAGCCGAGGAGTCCTTACACAGTGGTGACTCAAGCTCAGATAATGCTCCTACAAGCAGTGAGAGTGAGGCCTCCTCTGTACTCAGCGATTCAGAGAAGCCTGTACATGCAGAGGAAGAAACTACAGGGCAAGGCATGAATCAGCTCTCCAGTATAGTGGATTGTCCCATAGAACACATTGCAGCTGCACTTGTGAATGCAGTAGTGGATTCTACAGCAAAGTTATGTATGAAGGAGATGGTTAATGCAGCTTCTGGAATGCCGGAAAACGATTACACACAATGTTCAAGTGACCAGCAATCCGACTCGCTGCAGGCCAATAAGGATTATGAGCAGGTTACAGGTGAAAGTGTCCATATGTTTAAAGAAGATGACTCTGGACTGGATCTATCTGTGAACATGGAAGAAACACAGTGTCCAAGCATATCTGATACAGAGATCGTTTTAGGTAATAATCGTCATTGGTCTTCCTTCCAGTTTCTGTGTTAAAATGATCATATAGTAGTTAGATGTTTTAACGAAAAATGTGAAAAGTGTCTGCAATGCCTTCCAGCAATGAATCCGATTCTCTGGTTTGGTTACTATTGTCACTGCAGAAACTTGTATTTTTATTTTAATGAGTCAGCCACATCAGTTGTTGCTGGATCTTTGCTCGTAGGTTATGCTAACTACTCCTAATTCTGTGGATATGAATAAGTACAGAGAGCTTTAGCTTGCTTTTGTTGCAGTCACTTCACAGCATATATGCTTCTGTTTACGCTATCTACCGCTTTTGTTAGATCACATTTTAGCTGCTTCAGGTACAAGACGGTGATCAGGTAAGCAGGAGCTGTTAACTCCTGCACCGCCACTGCTTACAGTTGTGGTATTTGCTGTTTCAGCCATTAGCCCAGCAAATGCTGAATATTCACATTACTGGAAAATCCACCTTAATAGCACATTTCCATAAGAACTAAGTTTCCCTTCTGCAAAAGCATTTACTAGGGTGACATTTCAGCTGTGTCTATAGGAGTGGCTGAAAACTGACACCAGGGATAGATAATTGCCGGCAGCTCCTATTTTTTCTCCAGCTTGGCTGGTCTGACCACTGTTTTGTAGTCTGATTATTGTACACCTGCTATCTCACACTTGAACATGTGTTACTTTGCTATAAATGAGTGAACTCATCTATTGTCAATGCTTTGTGTCTGCTGGCCATTAACCACATGTTACCTAAGTTGTATGAATAGGCTGAAAATACTTCTTTTTCAGAAAATCAGAAGATCTTTAAAATAAAGATATGGATAGAGATGATATTTTTAAACACAGAATTATTTTCATGTATAGTAATCCCATAGATGGAAACTGCCAACTGTTATTTCTTTTTTTATACACTGGCAAACTGAAAACTGTAGGTCAACCCTACTGTCCCAGATACCCCCAGCACTCTCCACATTAATGAGCTAGGGACCACCTGCAGTGTGCCCCTGATAGTGGAGACATCTGTACCTCGGAAACATGCTGCCCTGTGATCCTGGAGTCTGTTCCCTTGTTGGAGTCCTCTTTCAGGTGTAGCCGAGTCCTCTGCCTTCTCGGCTAAGGTTTTTACCATGGTGGAGTAGGACTTTATGACCTTAATCACCAGGTTATTTCCTGGTTTTGGTCGTATTTTTACTTGCCAAACCATGTCTGGTTGGTCCAAATCACTTAAGAACAACTTGTCCACTGCTGCTGTAGAACAGATGTCTGTGGCATTGAACTGTAATGCAGTGGCTCGTGAGAAGCCTCAAGGCATTTTTCTCACATTCACCTCTTGTCAGTGCATATGCACAGGGCCCTTTGGTTAAAATGTTGGACTGTGGAGCATGACCTTCGAAGGACAATGTCTCCACGGTTCAACCCTGGAATTAACATCAAGTATGTAACTGAGAGCTAGAGCACTTGCCTTCCTTGGTGAAAAAAAAAGCCTAAGTTGCTGACTTCTAAGTCATCTCTGTCCATCTATGCTAACTAGTTTCTATTTCACTGTTGACCTTTGCAGACGCTTGTGTCTGTTGTATTCCCAATGTCTGGGCGCAAGAAAGAGGTGATGTCCCTGGGTTTGTTTCCTTGCCCCTTCAAACCTCCCTGGGAGCTCCCACAGGGCTGAATGAGAAAAAACTAATAGTTTATGGTCAGCTTTTACATTGGCTATCTTGGTAGAGACCGGGCTTTTTTTTAGAGCCTCCAGCAAGAATAACAGTGAGCAGCACATTAGTAACATCACCAAATCTCTCTCCAAATATCATGAGACCAGCAGTCAGAGGCAGCAGTGCCTTGAGGGTTATGCACACAGACCTAAACACCGGAACTTGCTGAGGTTTCACATTCGGGAATCTAAATATCAATGTGTATAGGTAGCCTTACCACTTTAAACAGATATGCTATGAAGTTGTATCAATACATTAGGAATATAGCCACAGTTTTGTGTTATTTACATACATTTTTGGAAACGTACACTAATTTGCAATTGCCTCATTTGACTGACAGGTTGTATAATGTTAGGGGGACAAGTATCTTTACATAAAAGGGTATTTTTTTGTTTTCCTAACATTTCTCAGCATTTTGTTTTTCCCAGTGCACAATGTATATATTTATACACTATATTGCCAAAAGTATTGGGAGGCACCTCCAAATCATTGGATTTAGGTGTTTCGTGAAATTTCCTTGCTACTAAAAATTTCACGGTCAAATGTTAGTGGTATTATAACAAAGTGGAAGTAATTGGGAACAGCAGCAACTCAGCCACCATGTGGTAGGCCACGTAAAATGACAGAGCGGGGGTGGCACATGCTGAAGCGCACAGTGCGCAGAAGTCGCCAACTGTCTGCAGAGTCAATAGCTACAGACCTCCAAACTTTGTGTGGCCATCATATTGGCACAACAACAGTGCATAGAGAGCTTCACGGAATGGGTTTCCATGGCCGAGCAGCTGCATCCAAGCCTTACATCACCAAGTGCAATGCAAAGCGTCGGATGCAGTGGTGTAAAGCACGCCGCCACTGGACTCTAGAGAAGTGGAGACGTGTTCCCTGGAGTGACAAATTTACGCTTCTCGGTCTGGCAATCTGATGGACGTGTCTGGGTGTTTTTTAGGGGTTGGGCTTGGTCCCTTAGTTCCAGTGAAGGGAACTCTTAAGGCATCAGCATACCAAGACATTTTGGGGTGGAGGAACTTGACTGGCCTGCACAGAGTCCTGAGCTCAACCCGCTAGAACACCTTTGGGATGAATTAGAGCGGAGACTGCGAGCTAGGCCTTCTTGTCCAGACCTCACAAATGCGCTTCTGGAAGAATGGTCAAACATTCCCATAGAAACACTTCTAAACATTGTGGTCGCCTTCCCAGAAGAGTTGAAGATGTTATAGCTGCAAAGGGTAGGCCAACTCAATATTGAACCCTACGGACTAAGACTGGGATGCCATTAAAGTTCATGTGCGTGTAAAGGTCGGCGTCCCAATACTTTTGGCAATATAGTGTATATACACTCCCATCTTTGTCCAGAAGTCGTAACAATGGATTCATTATCAAGTTACCTAATTAGTGTTTTGAAACTATTTGCACCTCCTGGTACTTGGTGATTCTTTGCCAGCAATAAGCGGGCACACACAAGTCACAACAAATCTATCTGGTTATTGAGTAGGCGGCTGCAAGAAACCAATGCTTTTAAACAGGTCTTATTAGTCCCCACAGGCCAGGGTGGGGTGCTTTTTTTGGATGGAGTACAATGTTTTTAAGCAACCAACATCAAAGGTTTTCCTTTCTAGAAACACGTAAGAAAGATTTGACACTGCTATGTATCAAAGTTTAGTTTTACAGGTGTGATTTTGCTTTGGAATGATAGTTGGTCAATCAGTTTCCTTGTTGTGATTGTTGTCTGATTTTGAAAAATTGGAGCACAGTTCCTACAGCTGAAGTGTAATTTATGCAAGTGATACCTTACCTTGTTTCTCACACCAGACACCCCCCATGCCTGCTCAGCATGCATTTAAATATTTTCAGTAGAAAAATATAATTTTCAGAAAGTACTTCTTTTGAGACCCAGTGATGTCATTATTGGGTCTGTCTACTGGCCTTTGCTCCATTGGAAGATTGCGTTTGGGGAGAGGGACCGAAAAGCTCCTGTAAACGTCACAGCACCCTGCTTCCAGCGCTTTTAAATAGCTTTTCTAAAGCATCCATTAGTCAGTTTACATTTCTTCAGCTGACTCCGGGCTTTCTAATGGAAGTGATTTGAGTGGCTATAAAGCCACCAATCACTTTCAAGAGTCCGTAGCATGCTGTGAATCCACCCCCATGTATCCTGGGCTTTGTTGCCCCTCATGTGGGCCCAGCATCGGCATTAAATACCCTGTTCATGCCTAGGTGTTTTGTCGCTCCAAACTAAGCACCACAAAATACTTAAGACAAGGAATCCCATTTGCTTGTCTTGAGTGTGACAAAACATTGAAGTCAAGGGATCCCATTCCTTTTTATGGCCCCTGTTCACACCTGAATGTTTTGTCGCTAGCAGAAAAAACGCCTGTCGCTGAAAAAAGTACATGAACTACTTTTTGGCTGATTACTGCGTTTTTTGGTCCCATAGACTTCAATGGGAAACTTTGTGCAACAGAACGTGTGACCAAACGCTCAGGTGTGAGCTAGAGCTGCAGCTAACGATTATTTTCAAAATGAATTAGTTAGCCGATTATTAAGTTCCATTAATCGGATAAAAAATAAAATACATTTTAAAAAATGGCTCCAGTGATGGACTACTAGTTTGTATTGAGATTGCAGTCCATCACAGGAGCAAGCTTGGAGCGGTGGAAGTAAAAAAGAAGAAAAAAAGTGTGGTGTGCAATATAGTAAAATGAAAAGTGTAAAATTATACAGCAATGAATGCAGAATGGCACCGGCTATAGAGGGCTACAAAACCCAGCAATAGTACATTATACAGCAAAATGCAGAATACCACCAGCTATAGAGGAATACAACAAATCCCAGCAATACATTATACATACAGTGTATAATGTATTGCTGGGATTTGTATTCCTCTATAGCTGATGGTACAGTGCTCTGTATAATATACAGCACAATGTACCATCAGCTATAGAGGAATACAAATCCCAGCAATACATTATAAAGCACCATGTGTGGGAAAGTGCAGGCTTACCTGAGCAGTCTTCCAGCAACTTGTTTCTGAGATCGGGCCTGTCTATTGGCGGCTGTCGTCCGCCCACACCTGCTCCTCCTTACTTCTTCTCCCTGCTTCCCTGTGCCGATCGTGGATTTGGGCAGCGGGGAGCGTGAGCAGGGAGGAGGTGCGGCGTGTGGATGCGGGTGGGTGGGGAGGAGGAGGTGTGGCGTGCAGCGTGCGTGGAGCCATGAACAGGACCAACCAATCGGAAGTTGATTAATCGATGATTGAAAAAGTTGACAACTTTTTAAATAATTATGTCGATTTAGTTGTTGCAGCCCTAGTGTGAACAGGGACCTTTATAAATGAAGGGGTTCCCTTGTCTTGAGTGTTTTGTCGCAATTAGCTTTGGGTAACAAAATGCTTAGGTGGGAATGGGAGCGTTTATGTGCATTTATTCATGTGTGCAAAAAATGCAAAAACAGATCTTGCAGTGAAAAGTTAAGGTTATCCCAAAATAATTAGCACTAAGAGTTTAAAACATTTTTGTGCAATTGTAGATGGTCTTTTGTTTGTGTCTCACCAAATGTTCCTTTTTTTTATTGTTTGTCCAAGCAGAACATTTTGATGGGAAAGCAGAAGACGAAGTGGATTTTGTGAAACCCAGTGCATTCGTGGTAAGAGGCGCCTCCGTATCTCTTTTCATACTGTAGATTATATTTGGTTTTCACAAGCTTGCCAACCACTAAACACTTGAAATTCTGATGTTCTAAAACTGCACTGTTTTCCAGGGCTGTCTGATGTACTTGGGGATACTTTATAAGTTTGGGCATATAAAATGAGGGTGTTTTTGTATTTTCTAACCAATAATCATAGTAGGAATCTAGGTGCTATGAACAACACATTTTTTTTTATACACTACAAAATTACCTAATTAGGTCTGGTCTATACAGGTCTGTGTTCATGGTGGTCAGTTAGAATCTGGCTAACTCTTGTTGTCTTGAATGTACTTAACAAATATTCTCTGTATGAATGCATTTAAAAAAAAAAAAAAACATTGTCAACAATATTTTCAAGTAAAAGTCTATCGAAAATGTTTATTTTAGCTTTGGATAGCAAACAGAAGGATTAGAATGCTATTTATTGCTATCTATTTACCCTTTGAAGATATTAACTCACTTCACCTCCATTGTGACAGTAGCAACTGGTACAGGAAGTGAAGGGACGTCGTCCAAAGGAGTCACAATAAGCAAAAAAATTAAAAAAAACTTAGTGACACTAAACTCAGAAGTAAAATCTTAAAAATGATGGACTATAACTTCAATAGAAATAAGTAAAAGAAACGTGAGAATGTAGTCTATCACGGGAGTGAGCTTGGAGCAGTGGCTACTTTACAACACACAGGGACCATGGGGAACAAAAGTAGCCACCCTCCAGAAGGAAGGACAGTGTCAGTATAAATTCAGAGATGATTTGAAGATCTACAGCTGAGTGATACACAAATAAGATACATTTTGTTGATAGGTAAGATACTTGAATGCTTTTTTTAAAAGATTTAACTCCTGAGATTAGTCTCACATTAACAATTTTGAGCCCCGTGGGGCTGAACAAGAAAAAGGCTCTTGGTTTCCCGATCTAGTCTAAACAGCGTGGATGGATGAATCTTTTGTGTCGGCTATTGTTGTTGCTGTTCTGACAGCTGGCACCTGCAACTGTCAGAATGCCCAAACAGTGATTGTAGCTAATTATTTAGCATCCTTTGCCTTTGACAAAAGTCAATTTAAAAAGTTGTGTGGTTCGGACATGGCCATCCATGGATTGGATTCAGCAGAAATTGAGCAAGATTCTATCTGTGTATGGCCAGCTTATCTCTTCTCCACTGTAATAAAAAAGAGTTATGGTTTTCAAGAGCACAAGCCACAATTAAGTAGGATATAGAATGAACGAATTTCAAAGAAACAAAATTGATTTTGGAATGCTTGTATGACTTTCTAATAGTTGATGGGGTCAAATTGATGATCAATTTTGACCGCATTGCCGAAAAATTCTAAGTAGCATGTTGGAAAATGTTTCTCGAGCAAACAAAATTCTAACAGTGAATCTGATTTTCGTTCGGGAAACTCATTTATTCCACAATTGAATGTTAAATCACAACGAAAATCCAAAGGAAAATTCAAACGACATCCGTCGAGTGTCTGATGGCATTTTGAACATTCTGACCAGATTTTGTACAAACCTTCATTCTAAAATCTACCTGTGTATATCCTACTTGAGTCCCCATTCACACGGAGTGTTTTGTAGCACCTTTTCTGCTCAAACATGAAGCTCAATGTAGAGCTTCCAATGTATTTCAATGGAGAGGGTCACATCTTGAAGCTCAATGTTGCCTGTAGCTTGTAGCTGAAGCTTGTAGCTCGAACATGAGCTACGTTTTGGCAGATTATGCACTCCTTAGACTTCAGTGGTGTCGCTGTAAGATGCTACACTACCTCAGTCAATAAAGAGATTGACTTGGCATTGCATTGGAGTGCGAGTGACTTTCTATCTGAATTTGCATATATTTTGCAGAGGCATCTGCTGTCACTGCCGCACCCACCTTTTTGGGCTTTTTTACGGTCAGGCGTGCGATGGGATACCTTTTGTTCTAAGTTTTGTGCAACATTGAAGCGCGCTGTCGCGCTACACAAGTGTCACTTTTTCCCAGAAATTACATTCTTCACAGAAGCAGGAAAAGGAATTCTGTCACATCAAGGACTGCTTTTGATTGGATACTGCCCAATGTAACTGCTACAAAGTCTCTGTGGTAAAATGGCAAAAGAAGCGATGCGTAGCGTGTCAAAATGTGCACTGTAGCTCAAAGAAGCTCAATGTCGCTCTGCTCAAATATGCGCAGAAAAAGCACTTGTTTTCTTGTAGCTCAGTGTGAATGAGGTGTAACGGACGTTTATAACCCTTCCCTTCTCCATTCAAAATGAGACATTCTACTGCTATAAAATCCACTTAATAGTTCGAGTCCTGCGTGGCAGAATTATTTCTGTCAGGGCACTGTAGAGCAGCACAGAGCCTGATGGGTGCTCCTGCTCGAGGTAATTTTGGTGACTAACACGAGGGTGTTCACTTGTGTTGAGTGTTCTCTGGCAACGGCCAAAACATTTATCTCATAAGGAAAACACAAGCCACAGCTTTGCAGAAAGTGTACTTAAGTTTTCAAAGCCACCATTTTCAGATTTTCGTTCCTCCAAGTACATCCTGTGGTGCAGGGGATCAAGTAAAACTTCTCGCTTTCCAAATTCTGAGGATGCTTATTCTCCAGAAATATTTGCTTTCTTCTGTGTGTTTTATCCCCCCCCCCCCCCCCCCCCTAATTTCTTCTGGGCTTGACCAGTGGAAAAGTGTGCTGTAGGAGTTCAAGAAAAGTTTCCTGTTGCTAAGATCTGCAGAAAAACAAAGTGGCTTTGGCCTCTAAACAGTGCTAAATGTAGACAATGGGGTGTTTGGAGAAAAGTTGCCTTTTCGCAGTATAAAACAATTGCATTTGCCACTTGTTTACATAATATTGCTGCTAGAATTTACTCCTGAGCTTTCCAAAAACAGTGCTTTCACATTCATCAGACTTCATTATTGTATTTTTCTGTAACAAAGCATATTAATAAATATTATTAAAATGTGTTAACACTTCCCACAGGGAAAATGAGCTAGAGAAGTTTCATAAAAAATGTCAATATCCTATTCCTGTTGATATAAATAGAATCTATTTCTTGCACATTCAGGAGAAAGTTAGTCACTTTATAGAACAACTCCAGGTAATAATTTCCTTAACCATTGCAGTGAGACTAACCAGGCAACGCAAGGGTTAAGTGCCCGTTTTTGTCTATGTTCAAAAAAGTTATACTCACACGAAATGTTTGTGCTGGCCGGCTGTGAAAACGCTCCCTCCAGCCAGTCTTCTCCTCCACTGCAGTGAGGTAGGTTCACTGTTGTAGTTCCTCTGTGTTCTCGTGTCCTACACACTGTATAGAACGTGATGACTCGGGGACCATAGACCGCTGCAGCCAAGGGGGAGAGAGAGGCTCCAGGGACTGGTCTAACAACAAGCCGGCTTGGAGGTTTGGGTGACAGCAACTTTTTTTATTTTTGAACGTGAGAAAAATGAGCACTTAACCCTTGCAGTGCTGGGGGTTGCCCCACTGCAATTGTTAAGGAAATTTCTGCATTAAAGCTCATCATCCAACTACTTATATTCATTGTACCTGTGTCCCCTGCTGCTACATTGCTTGGCAGTAATAACCCTGTGTAAGCTCTGTGTCAGATAGTGTGGAGAGCTTACACAAGGTTGATGCTGTCTTCCATCATGTGACCATGTTTAGGCTTGGCAATTGGCAGATCAGGCCCAAATACCGCATTATAGGATAAAGTCACATGCTCCCCCATGCCAGGAAGCACCACATTATTTAGCAGCAGTTCCACTGGTACAACAGAGTAGCATGGGAATGCAGAGAAGGGAAGTACAAGTTGGTCAGGCGGTGGAGTTTAAAGAGATTCTGGGCAGAATTTATTAAAACTGTAGCAGACAGAATCTGGAGCAGTTGCCCATGGCAACCAATCCGCTTCTCTCTTCGGTTTGTTCAGTTAAGATTTGAAAAAGAGAGAGAAGCTGATTGGTTACCGTGCACAGCTGCTCCAGATTGTCTGCTTCAGTTTTGATTCCCCCCAGTGTATATACATTGTACTTCTCTCTACCTGTAGACATTGGGTTCACATCTGACAGCTATTGCCTCTGGCAATCATGGGATATAACATGAACCCAGGGCAGTTATCTATGGGCTTAGTCTGATCTCTTATGGTTTTGTTGGTAGAGATCAGATAGTATGAGGCAATTTCATGAGTTATGACTAAAGTGAGTTGGCAACAGAGTGTCCCTGGAAATTTATAACATTTTGACCGCTGTGCATGAAGCATCTGTAATTGTTATCGGTGAGTACTATGGGTGTCTTTAATCATACATTTTTCACCAGTTTGTGAAAGCAAATACAGCTTTTCACAGCCAGTGGAGAAGGCCATTATCCTTAGTACACAATGCACCTGTGTGTTCTTACTTAACTGCATCCTAACATCTGTCACAGCCAGCTTCATTTGCAATTAGTCATGCCTGTTATGTCAACTCAGACATTCCTGCGATTTTATAGCACGCTAATCCAGGTCACATGACACAGAAATAATGTAGGTACATTCCGAAAAACAGACCTTTATTGTCACTCTTGAGACCTGTGCTCAGATGAATACATGAAAGCCTCTTGCTATGTGAGTATTTTTCTGTCTTATAAGCTCTTTGTGACCTTTTCAAAATCTGGTCTGATTTCATTATCTGAGACGAGATCTTGGTTATTATGCCATGCCTAATAGGCATGTTATATGTAATGTGTGTGTGTGTGTGTGTGTGTGTGTGTGTGTGTGTGTGTGTGTACACACACTGAGTGGCCAGATTATTATGACCACCCCATCAGTACTTCGTTGGGCCGCCTCGTGACTCCACGAGATGTTGAAAGGTGATGCGAGGAATCTGACACTGCACTGTTGCCCTTATGTTGTCGTGTAATAGTCTTGCCACTCTCTGTTCTGCCCTAACATTGACTAGTCGCTGACTGCCACAATTCGCACGTTCAGACACAGCGGTGGGACATTTTTGCATCGGCATGAACAGGGTCAGTCTAGCAAACTAATGGCCGATTTCCCCATGGCAGTGCTCCACTTCCGGTGCCTTGTTTGATAGTAGCTTGCCTAATAGCCCTTAAAATAGCCAGACTTTAACGGCAAGATTTCAATGGAATTTGCCTAGAAGTTCTATATGCCCATCACTAGATGTAACCTTAATATTGTACTTGACCTTGGACATCACACGTCTCCGTATACCTTTTTGTCATCAGCTGATCTCCAGTCACAAAAGTTGTAAAGATATGCGGCCTTGCTAGGGTACAAAGAACCATTAGGGAGCATCTCTACACCAGACAGATGAACTATCTAAATGTATATTTATTATATGTACCATTTAATAATGTTTCCTTCTAATATACTTGCTGCTGGTGTTTGTAAAGAGTCTGTAAAGTAAGCAGTGTAAAGTAATAAACTATCTTACACAATCTTGAACAGACTATAATTAAATCGTAGACACCCAAACAGGCAGTCTGTATTTTTTCACACTAAAAAACATTCTACTGCCCAGGCAAACCAATGTGATAAATTTAGAATGATGTCTAAAAGGCAGCACCCTCACAACTCCAGTTACTCATATTGATAGTATACAAGTAGCTTAGGGTGTAATAGCAAATAATAAAAATAATTGGCAGCAACAACGAAGAATGCTACTCCACATTGTCTTATGTCCTCTCCAATGGGAACCACACTGTGGTCACAGGGACAGGAAGGGAACGTGTAGAATGGGGATACCCCCTACAACTTGAGCCCTTTTCACATGGGCTGATTATGAGGGGATCAATACGCGGATCCCTTCCTGATCGGAGCTGTACAGTTCGGAGGTCACAATGGTGTCAGTGCCATTTCCCCCCCCC